CATGTCAGGAAACACATGCACGCACACATGCATGCACCCACACATGCATACACAGCCAAGGCACTAACCACCATAATTACCATGTGTGTATATTAGCATAGTGATAGTCATAGAGGAGAGGAGAGGAGAGGAGAGGAGAGGAGAGGAGAGGAGAGGAGAGGAGAGGAGAGGAGAGGAGAGGAGAGGAGAGGAGAGGAGAGGAGAGGAGAGGAGAGGAGAGGAGAGGAGAGGAGAGGAGAGGAGAGGAGAGGAGAGGAGCGAGTGATTGATTGGTGTACTCTGCACAAAAGGCACTGCAGAAGATGTAAAGGTCAGAAAGAAGACTGGTTAGAGGTAGGACTGGAGGGCATTTTGTCAAGCAATGCTTATATTCCAAATTGAAGCGCAAAACCTAAGAGTCCAGAGAATATCCCTGCTTTCATCAGTTGTGAAGGTTACACAAATATGTGCAATTAGCAGTTACAAGAACATATCTGGTCATTAAACATCAAGGCATGTTGAAATCCTACTACAGGGATAAACCCTATGATATATCTCAATGGATGTGCCTCTGCCACTGGGCCGTCAGTGACTGTGGAACCTTGTAGCATCCCAAGTGGTCAAACTGACTGCTGTTTGTGATCATTTTTGGTCCTGCTACGCTTTTGCATCTTGTTGGATATTCAAAATATTTTCTTTCTACAGTCTATCTGGAACATTGAAATTGAGAGATGATCAAAACTCATATTACATTTTTTTTGGTTCTGTTCTGTTCTGACCTCCCAGGTGATGAAAGGCCAGTGAGTGTCTACCTCAGTGGCTAGAGGTCAATGTCATTAAATAGACACTAATTTGCCTTTGGGTGTAAAGACCCTCACTGTGCAGGAGACAGGCATTGCCATATAGCTACATATGAGGACACCAAGGGTCTGACCTCGGTGATTGTTTCTAAATGTAAAAAAGGTGTGATTTCGATCTTGGTTGTGCATCAGCAGCTTTCCTCTTGTTATATGTCACTCACTGACAGTCACTCAATTAGCCCATGTCAGTAAAAAAACCATTTAATGATAAATTAGTCTAGTTAGTCTAGCCAGCTATCTAAACTTGTAATAATCATGTCCGAATTACCGATTGGGCACGTAGGGCACGTGCCCAGGGGCCCTGACCTCCAGGGGGCCCACATTGATTTTGTTAGTCACGCTCACCCAGATATCATATTAACCTGGCATAAGTCATGGCAAAATGTGTAGAATTGTAGGAAATTAGCTTTTAAAACTGCAAACATTTCTCCCCACCCCATGGCAAAATAATTATGTAGAATTGCAGGAAATGAGTTGTAAATCTGCAACAACAAAAACGTTCTGTAAAGCAAACGTATTTGTTTACATTTTGTTCATACAAATAATTTTTATGCTAACAGATCCCTCTGTACATATACCATTATAGTTTTTAATCCCAGTGCTAAGTTAATGTGAGTTAATGTGTAGTGGCTAATCGTATAGCTAATAGACTATGTGTTTTGTAGATCGACTGAGGTGAATGAAGCTACAGCAACCAATGTGATAATGGCTGGGGTCAGTTTGGCTTGTTTTTGCTGTTCTCCAAATGTCATTTTAGAGTTTTTAAATTGTTAAGAAATGCAGTAAATGAGCTTCAACTTTTTTTAAATGTCTTTCTCCGGACCTACTAAAACTCACACCTTGGCTACGGCCCTGGAGACAAGATGGGGTATTAGAAGAAGGGGCTACTAATGATAGGGCTGGTGAAAGCATAGTTTCTCACAGCCCACTGGCAAGAGAGACTAGTGAAAGCACGATATTGGTGGGAATATATAGCTAACTGCCAAAATAAAGGAATCACTTAAATAAATGAGGGATACAAAGTATATTGAAAGCAGGTGCTTCCACAGAGGCGTGGTTCCTGAGTTAATTAAGCAAATAACATGCCATCATGCTTAGAGTCATGTATAAAAATCCCAGTTGCCCATTATTTTGGCTACTATGGCTAGAAGAAGAGATCTCAGTGACTTTGAAAGAGGGGTCTCAAAGGAGCATAGGGGGTTTAAAAGGTGTGTGTGTGTGTGTGTGTGTATGTGCGTGCGTGTGTGCGTATGCGCGTGTGTCAGTCACCAGATCTCAACCCAAATGAACACTTATGGGACATTCTGGAGCGGCGCCTGAGCATCCCTCCAGTAGAGTCAACCTTCTGTCTCATGTAACCATACCAAACAGAACATATCATACTAATTTGATTGTCACGGATTTACTTTAACTATTTTCCGTCTAGTCTATGAGACCAGTCTGAAATACAGGACAGATTCAGGTGACGGGAAAGAGGAAGACAACCAGACAACCCAGAGAAGTGTTTACACTGATGTTACAGCTCATTAGAGAAGTATCAGTGTCTCCCTCTGCGGTTTCTCCCCATGATGACTAGGACCTCAAGTGTTTTCAGCTGCATCTGTGCCTTATTGATTTGTATGTCTTATTAAAGGTAGCCAACACTCTAGGCTGAAAGAATATATATTACCAGGAAATAGAGATACTGATCGGGTCAAGAAGAAGAAGCAGGGTTTAAATTATACGTAAGGAGAGGATTTGAGGGCTGCAGGTAGCCTAGCGGTTAAGAGCGTTAACCGAAAGGTTGCTGGTTCGAATCCCCGAGGCGACTAGGTGAAAAATCTGTAGCTGTGCCCTTGAGCAAGGCACTTCACTCTAATTGCTATTGGAAGTCCCCTCCTGTACTCCCTGTTCACGCATGGCCAGGCACGACTCCAACACCATCATTAAGTTTGCCGACGACACAACAGTGGTAGGCCTGATCACCGACAACGATGAGACAGCCTATAGGGAGGAGGTCAGAGACCTGGCCGTGTGGTGCCAGGATAACAACCTCTCCCTCAACGTGACCAAGACAAAGGAGATGATTGTGGACTACAGGAAAAAAAAGAGGACTGAGCACGCCCCCATTCTCATCGACGGGGCTGTAGTGGAACAGGTTGAGAGCTTCAAGTTCCTTGGTGTCCACATCACCAACGAACTATCATGGTCCAAACACACCAAGACAGTCTTAAAGAGGGCACGACAAAGCCTATTCCCCCTCAGGAGACTGAAAAGATTTGGCATGGGTCCTCAGATCCTCAAAAAATTATACAGCTGCACCATCGAGAGCATCCTGACTGGTTGCATCACCGCCTGGTATGGCAACTGCTTGGCCTCCGACCGCAAGGCACTACAGAGGGTAGTGCGTACAGCCCAGTACATCACTGGGGCCAAGCTTCCTGCCATCCAGGACCTCTATACCAGGCGGTGTCAGAGGAAGGCCCTCAAAATTGTCAAAGACTCCAGCCACCCTAGTCATAGACTGTTCTCTCTGCTACCGCACGGCAAGCGGTACCGGAGCGCCAAGTCTAGGTCCAAAAGTCTTCTTAACATTTACATTACATTTTAGTCATTTAGCAGACGCTCTTATCCAGAGCGACTTACAGGAGCAATTAGGGTTAAGTGCCTTGCTCAAGGGCACATTTACGTCATTTAGCAGACGCTCTAGTCCAGAGCGACTCACAAATTGATGCATTCACCCTATATTTTTTTTTGGGGGGGGGGAGAAGGATTACTTTATCCTATCCCAGGTATTCCTTAAAGAGGTGGGGTTTCAAATGTCTCCGGAAGGTGGTGAGTGACTCCGCTGTCCTGGCGTCGTGAGGGAGCTTGTTCCACCATTGGGGTGCCAGAGCAGCGAACAGTTTTGACTGGGCTGAGCGGGAACTATGCTTCCGCAGAGGAAGGGGAGCCAGCAGGCCAGAGGTGGATGAACGCAATGCCCTCGTTTGGGTGTAGGGACTGATCAGAGCCCGAAGGTACAGAGGTGCCGTTCCCCTCGCTGCTCCAAAGGCAAGCACCATGGTCTTGTAACGGATGCGAGCTTCAACTGGAAGCCAGTGGAGTGTGCGGAGGAGCGTGGTGATGTGAGAGAACTTGGGAAGGTTGAACACCAGACGGGCTGCGGCATTCTGGATTAGTTGTAGGGGTTTAATGGCACAGGCAGGGAGCCCAGCCAACAGCGAGTTGCAGTAATCCAGACGGGAGATGACAAGTGCCTGGATTAGGACCTGTGCCGCTTCCTGTGTAAGGCAGGGTCGTACTCTCCGAATGTTGTAGAGCATGAACCTACAGGATCGGGTCACCGCCTTGATGTTAGCGGAGAACGACAGGGTGTTGTCCAGGGTCACGCCAAGGCTCTTCGCACTCTGGGAGGAGGACACAACGGAGTTGTCAACCGTGATGGCGAGATCATGGAACGGGCAGTCCTTCCCCGGGAGGAAGAGCAGCTCCGTCTTGCCAAGGTTCAGCTTGAGGTGGTGATCTGTCATCAACACTGATATGTCTGCCAGACATGCAGAGATGCGATTCGCCACCTGGTTATCAGAAGGGGGAAAGGAGAAGATTAGTTGTGTGTCGTCTGCGTAGCAATGATAGGAGAGGCCATGTGAGGATATGACAGAGCCAAGTGACTTGGTGTATAGCGAGAATAGGAGAGGGCCTAGAACTGAGCTCTGGGGGACACCAGTGGTGAGAGCACGTGGTGCGGAGACAGCTTCTCGCCACGCCACTTGGTAGGAGCGACCGGTCAGGTAGGACGCAATCCAAGAGTGAGCCGCGCCGGAGATGCCCAGCTCGGAGAGGGTGGAGAGGAGGATCTGATGGTTCACAGTATCAAAGGCATAGTGTGATACAGCGTTGTGTTACAGATGCATTACAGATCAATAGTATTTGTCAATATGAATCTTATGAGAAGGACGAAGTGGATGGATGGTAGCAGATTCCCTATCCTAATGAAGAGGTTTATTATTATTAAACTAATTAACTAACAAATTAACTAAGAACTAAATGATAATCAAAACACAGAAGAGTACAGTATGCATAGTTCATAAATGATAATAACACACATTGTTATATAAAGTGTCCAAATATGTCATGTTTATGTCTTTAAATGTGTTGACCACACCATGTATCCTTGTCATGTCCCTGCCTGTCACAGCTGAGGAGGTGTAGAGGAGCGATGAGCCCCATGTTAGGATGACTTATGGTGTCTCACTTTGACTCTGATAGAAAGGTAGAGTGTGTCTGCACAGACGGACCGATGGATGGAGAGGGGGATCAATTCTTACCTCTCCATGTGTGATCTTCATCTTCCCTCCCCCCTGAACAGGGATATTTGGACACTTTGTACTCTCTCTCCTCTCTCTCTCCTCTCTCTCTCTCTCTCTCTCTCTCTCTCTCTCTCCCTCTCTCTCTCTCTCTCTCTCTCTCTCTCCCTCTCTCTCTGTATGTGTGTGTGTTTCTTTATGTACCAGTCTACAAAAGTTATCAAATTAAGAGCATACAGTGCATTGCAAAATTAATCATCCCCCTTGGCGTTTTTTCCTATTTTGTTGCATTACAACCTGTAATTTAAATGGATTTTTACTTGGATTTCATGTAATGGACATACACAAAATAGACCAAATTGGTGAAGTGAAATAAACAAAATATAATATAATATAATATAATATATAATATATAATATATAATATAATATAATATAATATAAATAATATAAAAAATAAAATAACTTGTTTCAGAAAAGTGGTGCGTGCATATGTATTCACCCCCTTTGCTATGAAGCCCCTAAATAAGATCTGGTGCAACCGATTACCTTCAGAAGTCACATAATTAGTTAAATAAAGTCTACCTGTGTGCAATCTAGGTGTCACATGATCTGAGTATATATACACCTGTTCTGAAATGCCCCAGGGTCTGCAACACCACTAAGGGCTCCCGAGTGGCGCAGCGGTCTAAGGCACTGCATCTCAGTGCTTGAGTCGTCACTACAGACCCCCTGGTTCGATTCCAGGCTGTATCACAACCGGCCGTGATTGGGAGTCCCATAGGGCGGCGCACAATTGGCCCAGCGTCGTCCGGGTTTGGCCGGTGTAGGCCGTCATTGTAAATAAGAATTTGTTCTTAACTGACTTGCCTAGTTAAATAAAGGTATAAAAAAATAAGCAAGGGGCACCACCAAGCAAGCGGCACCATGAAGACCAAGGAGCTTTCCAAACAGGTCAGGTACAAAGTTGTGGAGAAGTACAGATCAGGGTTGGGTTATAAAAAAATATCCGAAACTTTGAACATCCCACGGAGCACCATTAAATCCATTATAAAAAAATTGAAAGAATATGGCACCACAACAAACCTGCCAAGAGAGGGCTGCCCACCAAAACTCACGGACCAGGCAAGGAGGGCATTAATCAGAGAGGCAACAAAGAGACCAAAGATAACCCTGAAGGAGCTGCAAATCTCCACAGCGGAGATTGGAGTATCTGTCCATTGGACCACTTTAAGCCATACACTCCATAGAGCTGGGCTTTACAGAAGAGTAGCCAGAAAAATAGCCATTGCTTAAAGAAAAAAATAAGCAAACACGTTTGGTGTTCGCCAAAAGGCATGTGGGAGACTCCCCAAACATATGGAAGAAGGTACTCTGGTCAGGTGAGACTAAAATTGAGCTTTTTGGCCATCAAGGAAAACGCTGTGTCTGGATCAAACCCATCACCCCGAGAACACCATCCCCATAGTGAAGCATGGTGGTGGCAGCATCATGCTGTCGGCAGGGACTGGGAAACTGGTCAGAATTGAAGGAATGATGGATGGCGCTAAATACAGGGAAATTCTTGAGGGAAACCTGTTTCAGTCTTCCAGAGATTTGGGACGGAGGTTCACCTTCCAGCAGGACAATGACCCTAAGCATACTGCTAAAGCAACACTCGAGTGGTTTAAGCGGAAACATTTAAATGTCTTGGAATGGCCTAGTCATAGCCCAGACCTCAATCTGTGGTATGACTTAAAGATTGCTGTACACCAGCAGCACCCATCCAACTTGAAGGAGCTGGAGCAGTTTTGCCTTGAAGAATGGGCCAAAATCCCAGTGGCTAGATGTGACAAGCTTATATAGACATACCCCAAGAGACTTGCAGCTGTAATTGCTGCAAAAGGTGGCTCTACAAAGTATTGCCTTTTGTCTTATTTCTTGTATGTTTCACAGGAAAAAATATTTTGCATCTTCAAAGTGGTAGGCATGTTGTGTAAATCAAATGATACAAACCCCCCAAAAATCCATTTCAATTCCAGGTTATATCTGTATACCCTCAAATAAAAGGTAACATTCTGTATTGTTGCCTAGTATGAAACATTTGATCTCAAATCCAAAATGCTGCAGTATAGATTCAAATGTAAACATTTTAGCTTCACTGTCCAAATAAATGAGAGATCCAGACTGAGACCATTGTGCAGAAATGCAGGTTTTTATTTACGCCTTAATGTTCATCATTAAAATTCATTAGAATTTCATTAAGGTATGTGATGGCCGAATGTTGTACATTAAGGCTGGCATTACTGGTAACTGATGTTTTACATTATGGCTGGCTTACTCGTATTTGTAAGTGTAGTAGAAGTTTCCACTACTAAGTTTGCAGGTTACGCTGTGACTGCCAGACATGAGCTCAGTGTTGGTGCAGGTTCCCAGGAGGTCATCGAAGTTTAGGTCCTTGTCCCAGATCTCAAACTTCAAGGAAGCACTGGATGGCACATCCAGAAAGCTGAATACGGCACTCCAGGATGGATTATGAGTGTCCTTCTGCCAGTTTGTCATGCCACCGGATTCGCCACCACACCAAACCTTGACGTAGGGGTCAGGGTAATTACCAGCAATGTCCCCTTCAACCATGCCGCTGGCATGAAGGCCGAACACCCTGACGTTTGCACCATGGACGCCGGCCAGCATACAGAGAAACAGCAGTCCCAGAGAGCGGGAGGCCATGGCTTTCAAAAGGGGAAAGCAAACTAAGAGAGGAAAAAAAAATAGAAAAATAGAGTTTAAAAAAACACTAAGTAAGATACAACACTAACAGTCTTCAGAGAAGAGGAGCTACAACACTAACAGTCTTCAGAGAAGAGGAGATACAACACTAACAGTCTTCAGAGAAGAGGAGATACAACACTAACAGTCTTCAGAGAAGAGGAGATACAACACTAACAGTCTTCAGAGAGGAAGAGATACAACACTAACAGTCTTCAGAGAAGAGGAGATACAACACTAAATATTCAGCGAAGAGGAGATACAACACTAAAGGTCTTCAGAGAAGAGGCGATACAACACTAACAGTCTTCAGAGAAGAGGAAATACAACACTAACAGTCTTCAGAGAAGAGGAGATACAACACTAACAGTCTTCAGCGAAGAGGAGATACAACACTAAAGGTCTTCAGAGAAGAGGAGATACAACACTAACAGTCTTCAGAGAAGATGAGATACAACACTAACAGTCTTCAGAGACGAGGATATACAACACTAACAGTCTTCAGAGAAGAGGAGATACAACACTAACAGTCTTCAGAGAAGAGGAGATACAACGCTAACAGTCTTCATAGAAGAGGAGATACAACATTAACAGTCTTCAGAGAAGAGTAGATACAACTCTAACCGTCTTCAGACAAGAGGAGATACAAAACTAACAGTCTCAGAGAAGAGGAGATACAACACTAACAGTCTTCAGAGAAGAGGAGATACAACACTAACAGTCTTCAGAGAAGAGGAGATACAACACTAACAGTCTTCAGAGAAGAGGAGATACAACACTAACAGTCTTCAGAGAAGAGGAGATACAACACTAAATCTTCAGAGAAGAGGAGATACAACCTACAGTCTTCAGGGAAGAGGTGAAAAAACACTAACAGTCGTCAGCGAAGAGGAGATACAACACTAACAGTCTTCAGCGAAGAGGAGATACAACACTAAAAGTCTTCAGAGAAGAAGATATACATTAACAGTCCTCAGAGAAGAGGAGATACAACACTAACAGTCCTCAGAGAGAAGAGGAGATACAACACTAACAGTCTTCAGAGAAGAGGAGATACAACACTAACAGTCTTCAGAGAAGAGGAGATACAACACTAACAGTCTTCAGAGAAGAGGAGATACAACACTAACAGTCTTCAGAGAAGAGGAGATACAACACTAACAGTCTTCAGAGAAGAAGAGATACAACACTAACAGTCCTCAGAGAAGAGGAGATACAACACTAACAGTCTTCAGGGAAGAGGAGATACAACACTAACAGTCTTCGGAGAAGAGGAGATACAACGCTAACAGTCTTCAGAGAAGAGGAGATACAACACTAACAGTCTTCAGAAAAGAGGAGATACAACACTAACAGTCTTCAGAGAAGAGGAGATACAACACTAACAGTCTTCAGACTATATAAATACAAATTAAGTCAAAAAAAGAGAGGAAGGAGAAGCATGATGTCAATTTTCAAGGGAATAATTTTGTTAGTGGTACAATATGCAAAATGCTATAAAGTACACTTGTTACAGGACTCATAAAAACTATATGAAGATGAGAATGTAGTAGATCTTACCTGTGCTATGTAGAGTCTGGAGATGAGCGTCTGTATCTCAGTGGAACCAACCAATGATGGTTTTTCCAATGCCCATTCACTGTTTATATATACTTCATTGTGCTTCCCCAATTCAAAGGTAACCCTAGATGGTCTGTTTTCAGTGATGCCTCAACCAATGAGATTACACGGAGTCAGCGACGCCTACAATACAAGCAAGCTTTCAGAGAAATGACAGCCAGGCTTTAGACCAATAAGGCTATTCCAAGTTGCACAATTAGACAAACAGAACTTGGCATCATCTCAGGGTTGTTGGCATGATATCAGATTAATTAGAAGAATCAGTTTTTTTTTTTATATGTTATGGTCTCTGCTCCTGTGCTCTGGGCACTGTGCAGTGTGCACCTTCCCACTCGCACACAGACACCACCCCCTCCCCTGACACTTAAAACAACAAATAGATGAAAGATCACTTCTTCCCCTCTGACATCAAGCAGTTTCAACTGGCTATTTGCATTTGAGGTTTAGTCATATGGACACCGAAACACATTGAGACATTATTTTACTGTAATAGATACCCTTTTTATATCTCAACTCCTAAAATTCAGAACAGAACAGAACAGACCCTACTAAAACGGGAGTATCAATGAACATGATTGTGGAAAATGAATGCTAAATTCTGTTGCGTGCGGCATTGCGGTACCATGTCAATCTAGCAGCATTTTTGCCACAGACTGTTATGTGCTAGCTGTCTAGTCTGTGTTTTATAAATGTGCAATGAACATAAAAAAAATATGCAATTGTATACATAGCCGCGGGAAGTAGGGGTGGTGAGGGTGCCGCAGCACCCCCTGAAAAATCAGAATAAAAACAATATATAATAAAACAAAAAAAGATAGACATACAGTTGAAGTCGGAAGTTTACATACACCTTAGCCAAATACATTTAAACTCAGTTTTTCACAATTTCTGACATTTAATCCTAGTAAAAATTCCCTGTCTTAGGTCAGTTAGGATCACCACTTTATTTTTAAAATGTCAGAATAATAGTAGAGAGAATTATTTATTTCAGCTTTTATTTCTTTAATCGCATTCCCAGTGGGTCAGAAGTTTACATACACTCAATTGGTATTTGGTAGCATTGCCTTTAAATTGTTTAACTTGGGTCAAACGTTTCGGGTAGCCTTCCACAAGCTTCCCACAATAAGTTGGGTGAATTTTGGCCCATACCTCCTGACAGAGCTGGTGTAACTGAGTTAGGTTTGTAGGCCTCCTTGCTCGCACATGCTTTTTCAGTTCTGCCCACACATTTTCTATAGGATTGAGGTCAGGGCTTTGTGATGGCCACTCCAATACCTTGACTTTGTTGTCCTTAAGCCATTTTGCCACAACTTTGGAAGTATGCTTGGGGTCCAATTTGCGACCAAGCTTTAACTTCCTGACTGATGTCATGAGATGTTGCTTCAATACATCCACATAATTTTCCTTCCTCATGATGCCATCTATTTTGTGAAGTGCACCAGGCCCTCCTGCAGCAAAGCACCCCCACAGCATGATGCTGCCACCCCCGTGCTTCACGGTTGGGATGGAGTTCTTCGGCAAGAAAGCCACCCCGCTTTTCCTCCAAACATAACGATGGTCATTATGGCCAAACAGTTCTATTTTTGTTTCATCAGACCAGGGGACATTTCTCCAAAAAGTACGATCTTTGTTCCCATGTGCAGTTGCAAACCGTAGTCTGGCTTTTTTATGGTGGTTTCGGAACAGTGGCTTCTTCCTTCCTGAGCGGCCTTTCCGGTTATGTCGATATATGACTTGTTTTACTGTGGATATAGATACTTTTGTACCTGTTTCCTCCAGCATCTTCACAAGGTCCTTTGCTGTTGTTCTGGGATTGATTCGCACCAAAGTACGTTCATCTCTAGGAGACTGTCACGATCGTTATACGGAGTAGACCAAGGCGCAGCGTGATGAACGAACATGTTTATTTATCTTTAGTGATAAATACTGACAATAAACAAAACAACAAACGACTCGTGAAGTCCACGGTACAAAACACAAAACCAACTGGACAGAAGAACCCACCATACAAGGACCAAGCAGCGTGTCCAGGAGCAGGCAGACTGGACATGGGAGGAAGCGCCGGGAAAGGAGATGGAGAGGTTGGCGATGGCCCAGGTGGGCAAATCGTGGTCCTGGGAGGACATGCTCGGGGGCAAAGGGCCATGGGCTAGGATTAAGGCCCTGGCGAGAGAGGAGCAGCGGCGTCAGCAGTGTCATCGTCGGACGGACGAGAGGCAACCCCAAAAATTTTTTAGGGGGGGGCACACGGCATGGGCGGCTGGGCAGCAGGAGGCTGCCACAGGGCGATTTGGAGAGGAGGCCACCGGGTTTGGGGGGCCAGAAGGCAGGTTGGCGGAGCCTGGATGGAGAGCGGAACCAACTTCCCGTACTCAGGCATGGCAGCATGGGACGGGGCAGGTTCCGCGGTATGCGGAGCGGCGTACGGTGCCACGAGTGGTCCGGCATAGTCCGGTACGTCCTGTGCGAGCACCCCGCACGTGTCGTGCGAAGGTGGGTTCTTCTGTCACGATCGTTATACGGAGTAGACCAAGGCGCAGCGTGATGAACGAACATGTTTATTTATCTTTAGTGATAAATACTGACAATAAACAAAACAACAAACGACTCGTGAAGTCCACGGTACAAAACACAAAACCAACTGGACAGAAGAACCCACAAACACAAAGGGAAAAACAGACAGTTTAGATATGGCTCCCAATCAGAGACAACCAGCCACAGCTGACACTCGTTGCCTCTGATTGGGAGTCACTCAGGCCAACATAGAAACAGAACAACTAGAACCCCCAACATAGAAATATAACACATAGAATGAACACACCCTGGCTCAACATATAGAGTCCCAGAGCCAGGGTGTGACAGAGACAGAACGCGTCTCCTTCCTGAGCGGTATGACGGCTGCGTGGTACCATGGTGTTTATACTTGCGTACTATTGTTTGTACAGATGAACGTGGTACCTTCAGGCGTTTGGAAATTGCTCCCAAGGATGAACCAGACTTGGCTGATTTATTTTGATTTTCCCATGATGTCAAGCAAAGAGGCACTGCTTTTGAAGGTAGGCCTTGAAATACATCCACAGGTACACCTCCAATTGACTCAAATTATGTCTATTAGCCTATCAGAAGCTTCTAAAGCCATGACATTATTTTCTGGAATTTTCCAAGCCGTTTAAAGCACAGTCAACTTAGTGTATGTAAACTTCTGACCCACTGGAATTGTGATACAGTGAATTATAAGTGAAATAATCTGTCTGTAAACAATTGTTGGAAAAATGATTTGTGTCATGCACAAAGTAGATGTCCTAACCGACTTGTCAAAACTATAGTTTGTTAACAAGAAATGTGTGGTTGAAAAACTAGTTTTAATGACTCCAACCTAAGTGTATGTAAACTTCCGACTTCAACTGTATATAATAAAATAAAAAAAGTAAAATAAAAATATTTTATCACAAAAATAGTGCACTGGGCCTTTACTAGTCCTGTATTAGCGGACATATATAGACGTCTGTATAATTAAGAACAGTATCTTGCAGGAATCAATAGTTGGAATTGTAAGAGTTGTTGCCCTGTCCCTTTCTCTGTGATCGTCATTCTAATGGAATCCAGAAAGAACAAAACCCTGTCCTCAAACATTTACATCAAAAGGTTCAAAGTTATGGGCAAAGACCCAAAATATCCACATCAAATAAAATATTTTTCTTGATCAAATAACATAGAAAACCACCACTTTTTGTGCAGTATTATTTTACCGTCCTTACAAACCACTTAATGTAAATGTACATTACTGTATTGTACAGAGGCTGGTCATCTAGGTTTCTACCTGTAGACTTTCTATCACCATGAAGAAAAACAATGCACAACACAGTAATTGAATACATTGAGAGATTAAGTGGTTTGTGATGATGTGATGTGATGATGTGGCTCAGTTGGTAGAGCATGGCACTTGCAACGCTAGGGTTGTTGGGTTCAGTATGAAAATTTATGAACTCACTACTTACTGTAAATTGCTCTGGATAAGAGTGTCTACAAAAATGTAAAAGGAATGAATAGACCATTTCAGTTTTCACATAGAAATAAGTTGCATTTGCAAAGTATTTCAAGAAACTGGAAAACATACCAAGCAAGTCTTTTTATATTCCACAAGTATTATCAGATTAACTGTTTTGTACAGAACATTATTACACTCAAGCTACAAATGCTCGTAAACACTCAAATAGAAATCCCCCCCCCCCCCCTTCCCGCATTTGTTTGTATAAGGAATTGGCACATTGTTCTGAGAAATAAGCTCATTTTTATCCACGTAGGCCACTTGATTTCACCATCTAAACAAAGTGAACAGACTATGTTGTTCAAACAGTTGGAGACAGACAGGAGGGTGTATTCATAACAGTTCAACTGTTCTACCTTGTTAGCAAGCAAATAGATCCAAGTTGGCTAGACTTTAAATATAAACATTTGCTGGCTACTCACTAGCAGTGGGCTTTTTTTGAGAAATTGTTTGAAACCTGTGTTCATTTTCTATAATGCCTGCTACCAGACGTTGGTCATTATTAGTGGATGTGCATGGTTCTGGTTACATTTGTAACAAAAAAATGGCATTTACATAGCAACACTTGAAAGCAGATCAGGTGATTATTGAAAAAAAGCAGGTTAAACTATTTTGATAAAATAATACAATTATTAGTGGGTCTAATGGTTGAATGCTTATAATTAGCCTAGGTGTTAATTTTACAAGCCCGAAATTCATGTCACGGTTTCGGCCGAGGCTGCTTTTCCTCCTTGTTCGGGCAGGCTTCGGCGGTCGTCGTCTCTGGAGTACTAGCTGCCACCGTTCTATGTTTCGATGTTCCTTTGGTTTGGTCTGTTTGTACACCTGTTCTTTGTTAGTGTTGATTATGTGCCCTATAAGTTCTCTTAGGTTTTGTCATGTGTTGTGTGTAATTGTTTCGTGTCAGCTAGGCGTCAGTTTGTTCTCTCTCGTTCTGTTTTGTTTTGAGAGAGTGTCCGCACTGTGTGCGCAGTTTGGGTTACGCACTGTTTTCTGTGTGCGTAATTTTTCGCTTGCCCTCCGGCTGGGATTTTGCCGTGAGTCTTTTGTATTGTTTGATCCTCACTAAAGACTGTTGAAGAGCCTCTGTTGTCCTGCTCTTGATTTCTGCACCACATCTACGCTCAGCCCTTGACAGAATTACACACCATCATGGAATCAGCAGGAGCCGCCTCATCTGTCGAGGCAATCGAGGAGCGCCTTCGCGGACAGGATAAAAAAATCAGCTGGATTGGGAACTCTCTCGAGGGGGTGGTGGAGACCCTCCGTAGATGGGAGACCAGCGGGGCTCTCACGCATCCACCCATCGCACCATCGCCATCAGCCAGTCCGCCTGTTCAACTTCCGGAACCCAGTGGGATTCGGCTCTCGCTCCCGAGGGCGTATGATGGCACCGCTGCCGGGTGTCAGGGTTTCCTTCTACAAGTCGAACTTTACCTAGCCACTGTACACCCGGTGCCCTCGGGATACGAGAGCGTTTCCGCCCTCATCTCCTGTCTCACCGGCAAGGCGTTGGAATGGGCCAACGCCGAATGGAGGAGGATAGACGCCGCTACTATCACATATGCGGAATTCCCCCGCCACTTCCGGACTGTGTTCGACCATCCACCAGAGGGGAAAGCGGCGGGGGAGCGTCTGTTCTACCTCCGGCAGGGGATGAGGAGTGCCCAAGATTTTGCACTGGAGTTCCGGACTCTAGCAGCTGATGCAGGGTGGAATGAGCGGGCCCTCATAGACCACTTTCGCTGCAGCCTCAGGGAGGACGTCCGTAGAGAGTTGGCCTGCAGGGACACCACTCTCACCTTTGACACCCTGCTGGCCACCCGCGGACGCCCTGGGGGGGGGGGGTCGCCCATTCCACCCTCCAGCACCTCCGAGTCGAGTCCCATGGAGCTCGGGGGGGCTGGCGCTAGAGAACGGAGGAGAGGGAGTTCGAGGGGGGCTTTCCCCTGCACCAACTGTGGCCGTGGAGGACACACTGCGGCCAGGTGCTGGGGAGGGTCTCCTGAGGGACGAGACGGCAGGCCACGCGCTGGGGAGTCCTTCCTGGTGAGTAGGCGCCCCACTTACCCAGAGCTCTCTGTCGTGCACATAACCATACCTGTTTGTTTTTTACAGGTTGCACCTCGTTCCCAGCATAAGGCGCTAGTAGATTCAGGCGCGGCTGGGAATTTTGTAGATCGTAAGTTTTGTAAAGAGTTAGGGATTCCTCTCCTTCCTGTTAAAGATCCCTTCCCTGTACATGCCCTAGATAGCCGTCCGTTGGGATCGGGGTTGATTAGGGAGGTCACAGCGCCACTTACGATGGAGACGCAGGGGGGTCATGAGGAGACGATTCAGCTATATCTGATTGACTCTCCTGCGTATCCGGTGGTGCTGGGGCTTCCCTGGTTGATTACTCATGATCCCACTATTTCGTGGCGAGAGAGGGCTCTTAAGGGGTGGTCTGCCCAGTGTGTGGGACGATGTCTGGGTGTTTCCGTGGGGGCGACCTCGGTGGAGAGTCCAAACCAAGTGCCCGCATTGCACATTCCCCCCGAGTATGAGGATCTGGCAGTCGTGTTTAGCAAGGCAAGGGCGGCGCGATTGCCACCTCATAGACAGGGGGATTGTGCGATAGATCTCCAGGCAGGAGCTGCGCTCCCGCGGAGCCATGTGTATCCGTTGTCGCAGGAGGAGAAGAGAGCTATGGAGACATACATACAGTGGGGAAAAAAAGTATTTAGTCAGCCACCAATTTTGCAAGTTCTCCCACTTAAAAAGATGAGAGAGGCCTGTAATTTTCATCGTAGGTACACGTCAACTATGACAGACAAAATGAGAAAAGAAAATCCAGAAAATCACATTGTAGGATTTTTAATGAATTTATTTGCAAATTATGGTGGAAAATAAGTATTTGGTCAATAACAACAGTTTCTCAATACTTTGTTATATACCCTTTGTTGGCAATGACACAGGTGAAACGTTTTCTGTAAGTCTTCACAAGGTTTTCACACACTGTTGCTGGTATTTTGGCCCATTCCTCCATGCAGATCTCCTCTAGAGCAGTGATGTTTTGGGGCTGTCGCTGGGCAACACGGACTTTCAATTCCCTCCAAAGATTTTCTATGGGGTTGAGATCTGGGGACTGGCTAGGCCACTCCAGGACCTTTAAATGCTTCTTACGAAGCCACTCCTTCGTTGCCCGGGCGGTGTGTTTGGGATCATTGTCATGCTGAAAGACCCAGCCACGTTTCATCTTCAATGCCCTTGCTGATGGAAGGAGGTTTTCACTCAAAATCTCATGATACATGGCCCCATTCATTCTTTCCTTTATACGGATCCGTCGTCCTGGTCCCTTTGCAGAAAAACAGCCCCAAAGCATGATGTTTCCACCCCGATGCTTCACAGTAGGTATGGTGTTCTTTGGATGCAACTCAGCATTCTTTGTCCTCCAAACACGACGAGTTGAGTTTTTACCAAAAAGTTCTATTTTGGTTTCATCTGACCATATGACATTCTCCCAATCCTCTTCTGGATCATCCAAATGCACTCTAGCAAACTTCAGACGGGCCTGGACATGTACTGGCTTAAGCAAGGGGACACGTCTAGCACTGCAGGATTTGAGTCCCTGGCGGCGTAGTGTGTTACTGATGGTAGGCTTTGTTACTTTGGTCCCAGCTCTCTGCAGGTCATTCACTAGGTCCCCCTGTGTGGTTCTGGGATTTTTGCTCACCATTCTTGTGATAATTTTGACCCCACGGGGTGAGATCTTGCGTGGAGCCCCAGATCGAGGGAGATTATCAGTGGTCTTGTATGTCTTCCATTTCCTAATAATTGCTCCCACAGTTGATTTCTTCAAACCAAGCTGCTTACCTATTGCAGATTCAGTCTTCCCAGCCTGGTGCAGGTCTACAATTTTGTTTCTGGTGTTCTTTGACAGCTCTTTGGTCTTGGCCATAGTGGAGTTTGGAGTGTGACTGTTTGAGGTTGTGGACAGGTGTCTTTTATACTGATAACAAGTTCAAACAGGTGCCATTAATACAGGTAACAAGTGGAGGACAGAGGAGCCTCTTAAAGAAGAAGTTACAGGTCTGTGAGAGCCAGAAATCTTGCTTGTTTGTAGGTGACCAAATACTTATTTTCCACCATAATTTGCAAATAAATTCATTAAAAATCCTACAATGTGATTTTCTGAATTTTTTTCTCTCAATTTGTCTGTCATAGTTGACGTGTACCTATGATGAAAATTACAGGCCTCTCTCATCTTTTTAAGTGGGAGAACTTGCACAATTGGTGGCTGACTAAATACTTTTTTTCCCCACTGTAGCTGAGTCTCTGAGACAGGGATACATACGGCCCTCCACTTCCCCTGCGTCCTCGAGCTTCTTTTTTGTGAAGAAGAAAGATGGAGGTTTGCGCCCGTGTATTGATTACCGTGGTCTCAATCAGATTACTGTAAAATACAGCTATCCACTCCCTCTGATTGCGACTATGACGGAGTCATTACACGGGGCAAGGTTCTTCACAAAATTGGACCTCAGGAGCGCCTACAACTTGGTGCGCATTAGGGAGGGCGATGAATGGAAGACAGCATTTAGTACCACCTCGGGTCATTACGAGTATCTCGTCATGCCATACGGTTTAATTAATGCTCCGTCAGTCTTCCAATCCTTTGTGGATGAGATTTTCCGGGACATGCAGGGACAGGGGGTGGTCGTGTATATAGTGTATATTCTGGTGTACAGTTCTACCCGAGCCGAGCATGTAGCCCTGGTGCGCCGAGTATTGAGGAGACTGTTGGAGCACGACCTGTATGTCAAGGCAGAGAAATGTCTGTTTTTCCAGGAGTCGGTCTCCTTTTTGGGTTATCAGTTGTCTGCGTCAGGGGTGAAGATGGAGGTTGACCGTGTGTCAGCCGTGCGTAATTGGCAAACCCCAACCACAGTTAAAGAGGTGCAGCAGTTCTTGGGCTTTGCGAATTACTACCGGAGGTTTATCCGGGGTTTTGGACAGGTGGCAGCTCCCATCACGTCCCTTCTGAAGGGGGGTCCGATGCGCTTACGGTGGTCAGTTGAAGCGGACAGGGCTTTTGGGAGACTGAAGGACCTGTTTACTTCGGCGCCGGTGCTGGCGCACCCGGATCCCGCTTCACCATTCCAAGTGGAGGTGGACGCGTCAGAAGCCGGTATCGGAGCCGTTCTCTCGCAACGGTCGGCACGCCACCTAAACTCTGCCCCTGTGCCTTTTACTCGAAAAAGCTCAGTCCGGCGGAGCGAAATTATGACGTAGGGGACAGGGAGCTGTTAGCCGTGGTACAGGCCCTAAAGGTGTGGAGGCATTGGCTTGAGGGGGCTCAACACCCTTTTCTCATTTTGACTGACCACCGTAATCTGGAATACATTCGGGCAGCTAGGAGACTAAATCCTCGCCAGGCGCGGTGGACTATGTTTCTAGCCAGGTTCGTGTTTAAGATCACTTACATTCCTGGGTCCCAGAACGGAAAGGCAGACGCCCTGTCTCGGCGGTATGACACAGAGGAGAGGTCCGTTGAGCCCACTCCCATACTACCGAAGTCTTGTTTGGTGGCACCGGTGGTGTGGGAGGTCGATGCTGAAATCGAGCGGGCGTTACGTACCGACCCTAGTCCTCCCCAGTGTCCGGTGGGTCAGACGTACGTTCCGCTCGAGGTTCGGGATCGACTCATTTATTGGGCTCACACGTCACCCTCCTCTGGCCATCCAGGTATTGGTCGGACAGTGCACTGCCTTAGCACGAAGTACTGGTGGCCAACGTTAGCCAGGGATGTGAGGGTTTATGTTTCCTCCTGCTCGGTGTGTGCCCAGTGTAAGGCGCCCAGACATTTGCCCAGGGGTAAGTTACAACCCCTGCCCGTTCCACAACGACCCTGGTCGCACCTCTTGGTGGATTTTGTTACAGACCTTCCCCCCTCACAGGGGAATACCACCATTCTGGTCGTTGTGGACCGGTTCTCGAAGGCCTGTCGTCTACTTCCCATGCCGGGTCTCCCTACTGCCCTACAGACCGCTGAGGCACTATTCACCCACGTCTTCCGGCATTACGGGGTACCCGAGGATATAGTGTCTGATCGAGGGCTCCAATTTACCTCCAGAGTCTGGAGAGCTTTCATGGAACGCTTGGGGGTTTCGGTTAGCCTTACCTCGGGGTACCACCCGGAGAGCAATGGGCAGGTCGAACGTGTGAACCAGGATGTGGGTAGGTTTCTGAGGTCATATTGCCAGGGCCGGCCGGAGGAGTGGGCGAGGTATGTTCCCTGGGCCGAGATGGCACAGAACTCTCTCCGCCACTCCTCCACCAAACTAACTCCGTTCCAGTGTGTTTTAGGATACCAGCCGGCTCTGGCACCTTGGCATCAGAGCCAGATCGAGGCCCCTGCGGTGGATGAGTGGGTGCGGCGCTCTCGACCAGAAACCTGCCCCTCCGCCTGCCCTGCCGGAAGCTGGGTCGGTGGTTTGTGGGGCCTTTTAAAGTCCTGAGGAGGTTGAACGAGGTGTGTTACAGGTTACAATTGCCTATTGATTACAAGAATATTAACCCCTCGTTCCATGTGTCTCTCCTCAGGCCAGTGGTAGCTGGTCCACTCCAGGACTTTGAGATAGAGGAGACTCCTCCGCCCCCGCCGGACATCGAGGGGGCTCTGGCGTACAATGTTCGGTCCATCCTGGATTCGAGACGCCGGATTGGGGGGCTCCAATATCTCGTGGAGTGGGAGGGGTACGGCCAGGAGGAGCGGTGCTGGGTTCCGAGGAGGAACATCTTAGACCCGTCTCTTCTGACCGAGTTCCATCGTGGTCATCCTACGCGCCCTGCTCCGCGTCCGCCTGGTCGTCCTCGAGGCCGGGGTCGGCGCACGGCTGGAGCCGCACGTCTAGGGGGGGGGGTACTGTCACGGTTTCGGCCGAGGCTGCTTCTCCTCCTTGTTCGGGCAGGCTTCGGCGGTCGTCGTCTCCGGAGTACTAGCTGCCACCGTTCTATGTTTCGATGTTCGTTTGGTTTGGTCTGTTTGTACACCTGTTCTTTGTTAGTGTTGATTATGTGCCCTATAAGTTCTCTTAGGTTTTGTCATGTGTTGTGTGTAATTGTTTCGTGTCAGCTAGGCGTCAGTTTGTTCTCTCTCGTTCTGTTTTGTTTTGAGAGAGTGTCCGCACTGTGTGCGCAGTTTGGGTTACGCACTGTTTTCTGTGTGCGTAATTTTTCGCTTGCCCTCCGGCTGGGATTTTGCCGTGAGTCTTTTGTATTGTTTGATCCTCACTAAAGACTGTTGAAGAGCCTCTGTTGTCCTGCTCTTGATTTCTGCACCACATCTACGCTCAGCCCTTGACAATTCATTAGATTATTCCCGACTGGTTGAAATGCAGTGTATTAACCGTTTAATTGTGCAACAAAGCTTATTTAGAAGAAATATATATATATATATATATATATATATATATATATTCAGACCCCTTGACTTTTTCCACATTTGGTTACTCTACAGCCTTAATCTAAAATTGATAAAATATTACCTACACACAATACCCCATAATGACAAAGCGAAAACATGTTTTTAGAAATTTTAGCAAATGTATTAAAAATAAAAACAGAAATACCTTATTTACATAAGTATTCAGACCCTTTGTGATGAGACTCGAAATTGAACTCCAGTGCATCCCGTTTCCATTGATCATCCTTGAGATGTTTCTACAACTTGATTGGAGTCCACCTGTGGTAAATCTAATTGATTGGACATGATTGGGAAAGGCACACACCTGTCTATTTAAGGTCCCACAGTTGACAGTGCATGTCAGAGCAAAAACCAAGCCATGAGGTCGAAGGGATTGTCCGTAGAGCTCCGAGACAGGATTGTGTCGAGGCACAGATCTGGGGAAGGGTACCAAAACATTTCTGCAGCATTGAAGGTCCCGAAGAACACAGTGGCCTCCATCATTCTTAAATGAAAGAAGTTTGGAACCACCAAGACTCTTCCTAGAGTTGGCCGCCCGGCTAAAGTGAGCAATCGGGGGAGAAGAGCCTTAGCCAGGGAGGTGACGAAGAACCCAATGGTCACTCTGACAAATCTCTAGAGTTCCTCTGTGGATACGGGAGAATCTTCCAGAAGGACAACCATCTCTGCAGCCCTCCACCAATCAGGTCTTTATGGTAGTGGCCAGACGGAAGCCACTCCTCAGTAAAATGCATATGACAGCCCGCTTGGAGTTTGCCAAAAGGCACCTAAAGACTCTCAGACAATGAGAAACAAGATTTCCTGGTCTGATGAAACCAAGATTGAACTATTTGGCCTGAATGCCCAGCCAGAGCCCGGACTTGAACCCGATCGAACATCTCTGGAGAGACCTGAAAATAGCTGTGCAGCAACGCTCCCCATCCAACCTGACAGAGCTTGAGAGGATCTGCAGAGAATCTGGAGAGAGCTTGAGAGGATCTGGAGCGTGCAATTGTATTTCTGTTCAGTGTATAAATAACAAATAATATGTGAAATATCCCCCTCCTTTTTAGATACATCCTTCCTTTCCTCTCTTTGTACCCCTGCATGTTTTACTTGTCAAATGTTTGCATTTGCATTTCAAAAAGCAGCCAAAGGCTTTGTCTGCCAAACTTTATTCCAAGCTACATTTATTTTCCATCCCCCCCAGGTGACGATCATCATCTACCTGTCAGTGGTGGGCTCTCTGCTACTCTACATGTTGTTCCTGCTGCTGGTTGAACCTCTCATCCGTAAACATGACCCCTACATCCAACCCCTTCACAACGAGGAGGACTCTGAGGTATATGAACAGATATACACCACACAGAGGAAACAAACTGGGGTTAGTAGGTGAAGATATGGTCTCTGCTTCTTAACATCTGCAACACAATGTTACGTCTGTCGGGAGGATGTGGGATGTGAGGGTTATGAGGAACAATTCTACAGGTTTGCTGGTTTTTGCGTCACTAATGAATAGGTGTGTGTACACACACACACTCTCTCTCTCTCTCTCTTTCTCTCTCTCTCTCTCTTTCTGTCTCTGTCTCTGTCTCTGTCTCTGTCTCTGTCTCTGTCTCTGTCTGTCTCTCTCTCTCTCTCTCTCTCTCTCTCTCTCTCTCTCCCCCCCCCCCCCCCCCTTACAGGACATGCGGCCGCAGCCTGATTGTGCTGCTGCTGCCCAGGGAGGCAGAGGTAACACGGTACTGGAACGGGTAGAGGGGGCCCAGCATCATTGGAAAAAAACAGGTCCAGGAACAGCGCAAGAATGTCTTTGACCGACACAAGATGCTTAGTTAAACCCCGATGTCTGACTTCAGATCAGAGGCTAGAGTCACCTCCCAAGCTTTGTCCACATCTGCTGCTGTTGTACTGTCATTAGCTACATTGTTGTTGTTCAGGATTTCAGTTCCTTTGCCATTTCAGTACGTTCCCAGCACATTTAGGATTGTTTATGAGCGTTACGGTAATTCTGTTTGGAACGGTCGCTGGTCCAATGTCCTTTGTTACCAAAATGGTGGTTGCTGTCATGAGAATATAGATGTGTATCAAAATGAGGAGTATAGCCAAACAGCATAGTGTAAGTTGTGGTTGCATCTTCATCTCTGCATCATCTGCATGGAAAGATCAAACGGAAAATGGATCTGGATATATTGCAAACACAGTATCAAAAATAAGCTGATTAAGAATATTTTTAACAAGCTTAAGCACCTTTTTTAAAATCATTTTTAATCCTCATTGTAACATTGTTGTATTGTGAAGCTACCTCAGCGCACCAGATACTTTAGGTAGGCTGAACGCTTGTGAATGATAGGCTCACTAAATAGGCTGCCGGTATGTAATTGGTTACCTTAATTATTAGCTGGTGCCAAGCAATGTTCATTCCTTAGTTTAAGCACTGTTTATCAGAACCACAGCTCACTGCTTGTGGTTCATTTTGCACTTCGTGATGATATCCTTTGCACTTAAAGACACAAGAAAGGAAAAGGTATTCCTTTATTTAGCCATGTAATGATGATTGATAGTTTGGCTGGCTTTGAAATATTTGTTGTTTGAGAGGCTGTCTCTACCTGGAGTGGACACAGACAAGTGACACCTCTGAGGATGCTAAATGTGAATGGCTTAGCTTTTAACGCTCATTGTAATGTATTAATTAACTGTAGAATCACTGGTTAATGTTTTCTGGAATCACTGGAATGCCAAAGGGCTTTATATGATTCCAGAGTGGAATGTTGCAGTCAGTGGATTGTCTCACATTCCATTAACTAGCACTAACTGAGGCTATGTGCAATGTGTGTGCAGGGGGGTTATTTCCAGTCACAGGTCAAGTTATGCTAGCCTGCTTTACCTCAAACACACACACATTGAGAATTGATTAAAATGTCTGTTTAATTATTTAATTATTATTTAATTTATGTTTTAGCTGATGTATTTTAAAGCAGATGTACTCTTAATTGACATTGTTTTGATATGATAGGCCTGTATGTTGATGTTAAAGACATCAACTGATATGTGTGTTTTGATATAGGCTAGGATTTTATTACATTGTTTATCATTTCATTTAGACTCTGTTATCAGATCTTGCAATGTTGAAAGAATGTCTGTGTAATTGTCTACATCATGCTTGGAAAACAGTAAAAATGTCCCTTGGTTGAGCTTATATTATCCTGTTATTTGGTGAAATCTGTGTAACATAGTTTGACTGAAGCTGCTTATGTATTTATAGATGACGTTAGACCCCTTGTTGTCACTTGAGTTACCTGCCGCCATAGCCCTCATCTTCAGTTGTGCCTGTACTACTCATGACCACTAGATGGCCACACAGCACATAATCATTTGGAAATGTATATAGGCCTATGTTAGGTACATTATTAACTGGGCCTGGGGCCCATGATTTATAACACCGCACCATTCACATTTTGTCAATACAACACTTAGCTTTAGTCCATGACCATAATGTATTTTTTATCTTTGACTTAGAGAGCTATTTTCTTTGTACTTTTTAACTAAGATTGAGGTGGCGAGAGTATTGAGGGTGACTAACAGGGTAGGGGTGGATGGGGGGTATTGGGGGTGGATGGAGGGTATTGGGGGTGGCTAAAGGTACGGAAGGGTGGGGTTGAGAGGCAGAGATGGGGGTAGAGGGTGGGGTGGAGGGTTGAGAGGCTGGGGGGAGGTAGGGGGTAGAAGGGGGAAGAAGGTCAGGGGAGTCCTCCTGAGGCAGAGGAGAGAGGGAGGGAAAGAGCTGTGGATGTTCTTTCTTGCCTTCAGTGGCCAGAGCATTGCTGCACTGTGACACAGTGCAGATGAAGGAGAGTGTTTCTACCATAGAGTGCCAACCCAAACTAGTCTACAGTATAAACATTCTTCATCTGAACAGCACAGCGAGTGGGCAGCCTGGAACACAGAGGTTGCTTCCCAAATGGCACCCCCTCCCTACTGCCTGTGGTCAAAAGCAGTGGTGGAAAAAGTACCCAATTGTCATACTTGAGTAAAAGTAAAGATACCTTAATAGAAAATGACTCAAGTGCAGGTCACCCAGTAAAATACTACTTGAGTAAAAATCTAAAAGTGTTTGGTTTTAAATATATTTAAGTATCAAAAGTAAATGTAATTGCAAAAATATACTTAAGTATCAAAAGTAAAAGTATAAAATCCTTATATTAAGCAAACCAGACGGCACCATTTTCTTGTTTTTTTATTGATTTACGGATAGCCAGGGGCACACTCCAACATTCACACGATTTACAAACAAAGTATGTGTTTAGTGAGTCCGCCAGATCAGAGGCAGTGGGGATGACCAGGGATGTTCTCTTGATAAGTGTGTGAATTAGACAATTTTCCTGTCCTGCTAAGCATTCAAAATGTAACGAGTACTTTTGGGTGTCAGGGAAATTCTATGGAGTGAAAAGTACATTATTTTCTTTAGGAATGTAGTGAAGTAAAAGTAAAAGTTGTCAAAAGTAAAGTAAAGTAAAGTACAGATAACCCAAAAAACGTGTGTATTAAGTGTGTTTAAAAGGTTTGATAATATTCTGGGTCGGTAGTGCAGCTGTCCTGTGTCATCACACTGGGTGACTGGGACACACTGCTGCTGAGCTGCCAGGGGATTTCTTACATAGCTCCCTCTAGAGGTGGGAATGAGAAGGGTGGGGAAGACTACACACATCAGGGCCCTCATAGCAGATTCATGGTCTGTTTAAAGGGATGGGGTGACAGGGAAATTCTTGGTCTGTTTAAAGGGATGTGGTGACAGGCAGATTCATGGTCAGTTTAAAGGGATGGGGTGACAGGCAGATTCATGGTCTGTTTAAAGGGATGGGGTGACAGGCAGATTCATGGTCTGTTTAAAGGGATGGGGTGACAGGCAAATTCTTGGTCTGTTTAAAGGGGTGGGGCTACAGGCAGATTCATGGTCTGTTTAAAGGAATGAGGTGACAGGCAGAGGGTATGGCTGTCCACTCGGGATCTGCCCCTCCGGGTGGAGTCCCGCAAACTTTCCCCCCGTTTTATCGGCCCTTTCCCCATCTCTAAGATTCTCAGTACCCGCTGCTGTTCGTCTTCTGTTGCCCCGCACCCTCCGTATACATCCCACTTTTCATGTATCAAGGATTAAACCTCTGTCTCACAGCCCTCTGTCTCCACTTTCCTGCCGTCCTGTACCTATCTGACTCTGACCTGGTTTACGAAATTCTGCCTGCCCTGACCCTGAGCCTGCCTGCCGTTCTGTACCTTATTGACTCTGCCCTGGATTACTGACCTCTGCCTGCCCTTGACCTGTCGTTTGCCTGCACCCTGTTTTGTAATAAACATCTCTGATTCGAACTGTCTGCATCTAGGTCTTATCCTGAGTCCTGATACTAATTATTTATGATGTGTGTACTTTTGTCCATGCTCAGTAACTGCCTCCATGTAGTGGAGCCCATGCCAGTGCAGGGCCATGATGTGGAGGCCTACTGTCTGCTGTGTGAGTGCAAGTATGAGGAACGCAGCAGCAACACCATCAATGTATTACTGACCCTTTACAATGACACACAGAGTTGATTTCAACTGATATTACCTGGTAAAAATGGACAGGTTTTAATGCTAAAAAGACTATGGTATAAGGAAGGAGTATGATATTCAAGAAGTTACATCCATTACTAAAGGAACAGATTGACTGGCTATCCATACAGCAGACACTCCCCTCCATATTTATTTGGATTTAAATGTGGCTCTATACCCCAACATTTTGGATTTGAGATTTTTTTTACATTATATGAGGCGACAGTACAGAATGTCACCTTTAATTTAAGGATATGTTCATACATATCTGTTTTAGTGTTGCACAGTATACCAGTACCACGGTAATATCACGGTACCAAAACGTCATGATACTTATGATACCAACATTTTAGAATACCGTAGTACCGTTTCATAAGATACTACCACATCTTTCAGCCCTATTGATTTAGTCAGCCTCTGAGTGCCAGAGAGGAAAAATGGAGCACAGCTTCGCGACAGGCATGCTTACAGCTTTACAACAATGAAAATGTCTCTAGCCCATTCAAAACATATGGCCCATATTACGGAGCTACCTTTTTTCAATCTGTCGCGGATTTTCTCACATTTTATATAATTTCGCAAACCATGTCGCGGGCTGTTTTAAACTAATCCCGGGCCACTAATTATTGGTTTGATAATAAACAACCTTGTTCAGTCATGTGTTTCAGATTATATTTTTCTAAATAGGAACTGAATGGTGGAGAATGTATTGTGTCATTTTGGAGTCACTTTTATTGTAAATAAGAATAGAATATGTTTCTAAACACTTCTACATTAATGTGGATGCTACCATGATAACGGATAATCATGAATGAATCGTGAAAAATTATGATCATACCCACAAAATCATGAATAAAGACCATATGTTACCGCTAAAGAAATGCTAACCTCTCACTATTACCAATAATACTTTATGGGGGGTATGATATTTGTGCCTCTAACTTTCTCATTAATCTTTATTCACAATTCATTCATGATTATTCCTAACCATGGTAGCATCCACATTGATGTAGAAGTGTTCAGAAACATATTCTATTCTTATTTACAATCAAAATGACTCCAAAATGACAGAATACATTTTTCACCATTAAGTTCCTATTGGGCAAAACATAATCCGAAACACAAACAAAACAAACAGCATATGCATCCAAGAAGTTTGTAGTGTCACAAGCTTGATGTAGTCATCGCGTGCTAGGAATATGGGACCAAATACTAAACTTTTGACTACTTTAATACACTATAAGAGAATTGTGCTTTCATTTCTAAGCAGTAAAACAGATACAGATGTAGGATCTTAATTTGACCAGTATTGTCTTTGCAAAATAATCCTGCAGCAACAGGATTTGAACCTTTTGTCCATAATGTGCTTGATCAGTGGTTAAACTATTAGCTAGACAAAAGTAGACTTTATGAAAGTGCAGTACTGTTAATATAACCTTGGTTTAGTGTGGGTTTTCAGTGAATTTATGCGGTGTAGGAAAATTGTCAGCAACAAAAGTGATCAAATTAAGATCATACAGTGCCTTGCAAAAGTATTCATCCCCCTTGGCATTTTTCCCTATTTTGTTGCATTACAACCTGTAATTTAAATGGATTTTTATTTGAATTTCATGTAATGGACATACACAAAATAGTCCAAATTGGTGGACCTGCCAAGAGAGGGCCGCCCACCAAAACTCACGGACCAGGCAAGGAGGTTTTGACTTTGGGGGGGTGAATAGTTATGCACGCTCAAGTTTTCTGTTTTTTAGTCTTATTTCTTGTTTGTTTCACCCCAAAAAATATTTTGCATCTTCAAAGTGGTAGGCATGTTGTGTAAATCAAATGATACAAACCCCCCAAAAATCCATTTTAATTCCAGGTTATATCTGTATACCCTCAAATAAAAGGTGGCATTCTGTATTGTTACCTATTATGAAACATTTGATATCAAATCCAAAATGCTGCAGTATAGAGACAAATTTTAACATTTTAGCTTCACTGTCCAAATAAATGAGAGAACCAGACTGAGACCATTGTGCAGAAATGCAAGTTTTTATTTAGGCCTTAATGTTCATCAGTAAAATTCATTAGAATTTCATTAAGGTATGTGATGGCCGAATGTTTTACATTATGGCTGGCTTACTGGTAACTGTAAGTGTAGTAGAAGGTTCCACTACTCAGTTTGCAGGTTATGCTGTGACTGCCAGACTTGAGCTCAGTGGTGCAGGTTCCCAGGTGGTCATCGAAGTTTAGGTCCTTGTCCCAGATCTCAAACTTCAAGGAAGCACTGGATGGCACATTCAGAAAGCTGAATACGGCACTCCAGGATGGATTATGAGTATCCTTGTGCCAGTCTGTCATGCCACCGGATTCGCCACCACACCAAACCTTGACATAGGGGTCAGGGTAATTACCAGCAATGTCCCCTTTAAGGCCGCTGGCATGAAGGCCGGACACTCTGACGTTTGCACCATGGACGCCAGCCAGCATACAGAGAAACAGCAGTCCCAGAGAGAGGGAGGCCATGGCTTTCAAAAGGGGAAAGCAAACTAAGAGAGGGAAAAAATAGAGAAGAGGAGATACAACACTAACAGTCTTCAGAGAAGAGGAGATACAACACTAACAGTCTTCAGAGAAGAGGAGATGCAACACTAACAGTCTTCAGAGAAGATCTCTATTTGCACATAATCTCTTGCACATCTAGCATTCCAGTGTTAATACTATTGTAATTATTTTGCACTATAGCCTATTTATTGCCTTACCTCCATAACTTGCTACATTTGCACACACTGTATATATATTTTCTGTTGTATTTTTGACTTTATGTTTTTTACCCCATATGTAACTTTGTGTTGTTTTTATTGCACTGCTTTGCTTTATCTTGGCCAGGTCGCAGTTGTAAATGAGAACCTGTTCTCAACTGGCTTACCTGGTTAAATAAAGGTGGAGGAAAAAATAAATAAAAAAGATGAGATACAACACTAACAGTCTTCAGAGAAGAGGAGATACAACACTAACAGTCTTCAGAAGAAGAAAAATACAAATTAAGTCAGAAAAAGAGATGAAGGACAGGCATTATGTCAATTTTCAAGTTAATCATTTTGTTAGTGGTACAATATGCAAAATGCTATAAAGTACACTTGTTACAGGACTCATAAAAACTATAAGAAGATGAGAATGGAGTAGATCTTACCTGTGCTATGTAGAGTCTGGAGACAAGTGTCTGTATCTCAGGGGAACCAACCACTGATGTTTTTTCCTACGCCCAATCGCTGTTTATAAATACTTAATCGGGTAACCCACAGATGGTCTGTTCTCAGTGATGCCTCAACCAATGAGAGCACATGGAGGCAGCAGCACCTACAGTACAAGTGTTAAATGTTAACCTTTAATGCTGATTAAACGACGGCCAGGCTTTTGACCAATAAGGCAATTCCAAGTGGCAAATTTAGACAAACAGAACTTGGCATCATCTCAGGGTTGTTGGCATCATCTCAGTTACCACCTGCCCTTGAGCCACTTAACCCCCAACCTGCTCCAAGCGCTGCTCTGTGCCATGTGCAGCACTGGGTCAGCCACAGAGCATCACCTCTGGAGCAGGTTAAGGGTTAAGTGGTCTGCTCAAGGCCCCTCTGAGTAGGTGGCACCTGTTTTCGACAAATATCATAATTATGTAATGTATACATACATTTCTATTGTGTTGTCTATTCTACACTGAACATAAATATCAACACAACATGTAAAGTGTGGGTCCCATGTTTCATGGGCTGAAATAGAAGATCCCAGAAATGTTCCATACGCACAAAAAGCTTATTTATCTCAAATTTTGGGCACAACTTTGTTACGTCCCTGTTAGTGAGCATTTCTCCTTTGCCAAGATAATCCATCCACCTGACAGGTGTGACATATCAAGAAGCTGATTAAACAGCATGATCATTACACAGGTGCCCCTTGTGCTGGGGACAGTAAAAGGCCACTCTTAAGTTTTGTCACACAACACAATGCCACAGATGTCTCAAGTTTTGAGGGAGCGTGCAATTGTATTTCTGTTCAGTGTATAAATAACAAATAATATGTGAAATATCCCCCTCCTTTTTAGATACATCCTTCCTTTCCTCTCTTTGTACCCCTGCATGTTTTACTTGTCAAATGTTTGCCTTTGCATTTCAAAAAGCAGCCAAAGGCTTTGTCTCCCGAACTTTAATCCAAACTACATTTATTTTCCATCCCCCCCAGGTGACGATCATTATCTACCTGTCAGTGGTGGGCTCTCTGCTACTCTACATGTTGTTCCTGCTGCTGGTTGAACCTCTCATCCGTAAACATGACCCCTACATCCAACCCCTTCACAACGAGGAGGACTCTGAGGTATATGAACAGATATACACCACACAGAGGAAAAACACTGGGGTTGGTAGGTTAAGATATGGTCTCTGCTTCTTAACATCTGCAACACAATGTTACGTCTGTCGGGAGGCTGTGGGATGTGAGGGTTATGAGGAACAATTCTACTGGTTTGCTGGTTTTTGCGTCACTGATTAACAGGTGTTTGTAACGTCTTGTACACACACTCACTCTCTCTCTCTCTCTCTCTCTCTCACTTTCTCTCTCTCTCTCTCTCTCTCGCTCGCTCGCTCTCCCCCCCCCCCCCTACAGGACATGAGGCCGCAGCCTGAGTATGCTGCTGCTGCCCAGGGAGGCAGAGGTAACACGGTACTGGAACGGGTAGAGGGGGCCCAGCAGCGTTGGGAAAAAAAAGGTCCAGGATCAGCGCAAGACTGTCTTTGACCGACACAAGATGCTTAGTTAAACCCCAATGTCTGACTTCAGATCAGAGGCTAGAGTCACCTCCCAAGCTTTGTCCACATCTGCTGCTGCTGTACTGTCATTAGCTACATTGTTGTTGTTCAGGATTTCAGTTCCTTTGCCATTTCAGTACGTTCCCAGCACATTTAGGATTGTTTATGAGCGTTACGGTAATTCTGTTTGGAACGATCGCTGGTCCAATGTCCTTTGTTACCAAAATGGTGGTTGCTGTCATGAGAATATAGATGTGTATCAAAATGAGGAGTATAGCCAAACAGCATAGTGTAAGTTGTGGTTGCATCATCATCTCTGCATCATCTGCATGGAAAGATCAAACGGAAAATGGAACTGGATATATTGCAAACACAGTATCAAAAATAAGCTGCTTAAGAATATTTTTAACAAGCTTAAGCACCTTTTTTAAAATCATTTTTAATCCTCATTGTAGCATTGTTGTATTGTGAAGCTACCTCAGCGCACCAGATACTTTAGGTAGGCTGAACGCTTGTGAATGATAGGCTCACTAAATAGGCTGCCGGTATGTAATTGGTTACCTTAATTATTAGCTGGTGCCAAGCAATGTTCATTCCTTAGTTTAAGCACTGTTTATCAGAACCACAGCTCACTGCTTGTGGTTCATTTTGCACTTCGTGATGATATCCTTTGCACTTAAAGACACAAGAAAGGAAAAGGTATTCCTTTATTTAGCCATGTAATGATGATTGATAGTTTGGCTGGCTTTGAAATATTTGTTGTTTGAGAGGCTGTCTCTACCTGGAGTGGACACAGACAAGTGACACCTCTGAGGATGCTAAATGTGAATGGCTTAGCTTTTAACGCTCATTGTAATGTAGTAATTAACTGTAGAATCACTGGTTAATGTTTTTTGGAATCACTGGAATGCCAAAGGGCTTTATATGATTCCAGAGTGGAATTTAACTAGCACTAACTGATGCTCTGTGCAATGTGTGTGCAGGGGGGTTATTTCCAGTCACAGGTCAAGTTATGCTAGCCTGCTTTACCTCAAACACACACACATTGAGAATTGATTAAAATGTCTGTTTATTGATTTAATTATTATTTAATGTATGTTTTAGCTGATGTATTTTAAAGCAGATGTACTCTTAATTGACATTGTTTTGATATGATAGGCCTGTATGTTGATGTTAAAGACATCAACTGATATGTGTGTTTTGATATAGGCTAGGATTTTATTACATTGTTTATCATTTCATTTAGACTCTGTTATCAGATCTTGCAATGTTGAAAGAATGTCTGTGTAATTGTCTACATCATGCTTGGAAAACAGTAAAAATGTCCCTTGGTTGAGCTTATATTTATCCTGTTGGAGTTATGTGTGAATGTTGGAGTGTGCCCCTGGCTATCTGTAAATAAATAAAAAACAAGAAAATGGTGGCGTCTGGTTTGTTTAATATAAGGAATCTATACTTGTACTTTGATACTTAAGTATATTTTAGCAATTACATTAACTTTTGATACTTAAGTATATTTATAATAATATGCCATTTAGCAGACGCTTTTATCCAAAGCGACTTACAGTCATGCGTGCATACATTTTTTTTTTGTGTACGTGTGGTCCCGGGGATCGAACCCACTACCTTGCCGTTACAAGCGCCGTGCTCTACCAGCTGAGCTACAGAGGACCACATATTTCAAAACAAATACTTTGAGTTTTACTCAAGTAGTATATAACTTGGTGACTTTCACTTATACTTGAGTTATTTTCTATTATGGTATCTTTACTTTTACTCAAGGATGACAATTGGGTACTTTTTCCACCACTGCCTTGGCACCTACGACCATATGCCGTTCAAAGGCACTGAAATGTTTTGTCTTGCCCATTCACCCTCTGAATGGCACACATACACAATCCATGTCTCAATGCTTAAAACTCCTTCTTTAACCCATATCCCCCCTTCATCTACACCGATTGAAATGAATTTAACAAGTGACATCAATCTGTGTTCACCTGTTCAGTCTATGTCATGGAAAGAGCAGGTGTCCTTAATGTTTTGTACACTCAGTGTATAACAGCGACAGCCTACCTACTGTCGTGACTTGACTTTTAACATTAATCTGAAGACTGTATTTCTCTAATTAACTAACTATGTTTAATTGTTACCTGATTAAATTAATCATGCAACAATTAACTCATTAGTATTTGGGTCACCACAAGAGCGAATGTTTAAAGAGTTGCCATCTCCCGAATTAAACTCTAGAAGGTCTATACCTATCACATCCATAAACAGTCAATGTATTAATCATAATCTCATATCATCATTCTGAACAGTCGTAACCTCCTTCATCTGCAAAAACCAGAGCCTTACTTATGATTCAGTACTACACAAATTGGTTTAATTATTTATTTACTAGCTAATTAAATGTGAACACAGTATAAACATACACACTCTCCACTGGATATTGACTGGAGAAAACAGGTCCCTAGTGGAATGACAACAACATGGCTTGTTAACAAGAAGAGATGGAAAGGGAGAGAGAGATGGACAGAGATAATACTTTGATACATTCAGAAACAACGCTCTTTTACAGTACCCATATACTTTGCTCAAGAACCGCCGCCCTCTTTAAGTAAGAAATCATGAATGTATTTACGTGGAATGTCTGGTTCGCCGTGTATCTCTCGGTGGACAGGACCGCCCTGGAAAGGGAGTTGGGCCTTCTCGTGGCACGCTTGTAAGGCTCTGATTGTCCAAAAGTTCCAACAAGTCTTCTACTGTTGTTCTCCTCTGTAGTTGTCCGGTATCCGGTGACTTGTCATGTTGTCCTGAACAGAACTACAGAATACATTTTTCTTCCCATCGCTCTTGATGTTGCTTCTTGGAAGATAGGCTCGCCAGCCGTATCAATGGTTCCCAAGTGGGGTAATGAGAGTAGCGTAATACGATGGTTTGAGCAGAGTTATAGGATGGGCCTACTTAAATTCACTTTCGAAGATACCTTACTTAGGACAGCTAATCAGCCGCACCAGTGATTGTCCAGGGAGGGGAGTTTATTCTCTCCTCCTCGTGTTGATATTCAAAGTTCCAACCATTTTAAACTTGTAGCTCCCGCTTTCACGCTTTCTGGTCTGATATGTTAATTCGTAACCCATCCTTTTATACACTCTGGTCGAAAGGGCCGGTTCCGTCAGGCTGACACGCTCTCTCACCTCACTCGGGGCGTGGCTACTTACTGTGCCAAGTTTATAGGAGACAGATTATCTCTTATGGCTCCTAAAATCCCATTCCTATCTTAACAAAAATAGTTTGATCATTTTCTATATTTAATTCACAACGCATCGGATGGACACTTCACACATATAGTGTGTATACTTTAAGTTACAGTATTTCCTCTATAACATTTTTAATGACATCACAAAATAACAACAATATGAAATTATAGTTTTCTATAGACTACCTCTGACCATTCCCCACGTACTCTGGACCCTGGATCTCCTCTGTTTGATTTACAACAGGGTGTGAGGTGTCAACCCCCCCCCCCATACACACACACCAGTTCCCCCCACAAGGTGAGATCTTGCATGGAGCCCCAGACCGAGGGTGATTGACCGTCATCTTGAACTTCTTCCGTTTTCTAATAATTGTACCAACAGTTGTTTCCTTCTCACCAAGCTGCTTCCCTATTGTCCTGTAGCCCATCCCAGCCTTGTGCAGGTCTACAATTTTATCCCTGATGTCCTTACACAGCTCTCTGGTCTTGGCCATTGTAGTGAGGTTGGAGTCTGTTTGATTGAGTGTGTGGACAGGTGTCTTTTATACAGGTAACGAGTTCAAACAGGTGCAGTTAATACAGGTAATGAGTGGAGAACAGGAGGGCTTCTTAAAGAAAAACTAACAGGTCTGTGAGAGCCGGAATTCTTATTGGTTGCTAGGTGATCAAATACTTATGTCATGCAATAAAATGCAAATTAATTACTTAAAAATCATACAATGTGATTTTCTGGAGTTTTGTTTTAGATTCCGTCTCTCACAGTTGAAGTGTACCTATGATAAAAATTACAGACCACTACATGCTTTGTAAGTAGGAAAACCTGCAAAATCGGCAGTGTATCAAGTACTTGTTCTCCCCACTTTATATATAAAAAAAAATTTCATGAGTGTGAACCTGGCCAGTCCACCGGAGGACTCCTTCTTTTTGGAGTGGGACGGCATCTCAGAACAACAGGTGAGTTAGCTTGAATTGCGTTGAATAACGTAACAACATGACAAATGTCATGGTACATCTAGATGGAGCCTCAGTCAAAGACATGTAAAGTGAATAATCTCTCTGGGTTTCTGCTCCGCGTGTACTCCTGGTGCTGTGTGTAAACAGAGGAGGACCAGTCGGTCTATAAAATACCTTGACACGTCAACGCATCGTACCGCTCCCCCTTATGGAATGAAAACTCCTATTATAAAAAAACACATTCTTGCAGGATGAGTGGTACGTTATGAAATAAGTTATAAAATACATGTATAAAACACTAAACTTACTAAATCAAATATCTACAAAAAGACATACTCTGTATTAACACTTAACCTAAATAATACGAAACACACCTACTCATGCAAGGGTTTTTCTTTATTTTTACTATTTTCTACATTGTAGAATAATAGTGAAGACATCAACACTATGAAATAAAACATATGGAATTATGCAGTAACAAAAAAAGAGTGTGCAAAGCTGTCATCAAGGCAAAGGGTGGCTACTTTGAAGAATCTAAAATATATTTTGATTTATTTAACACTTTTTGGTTACTACATGATTCCATGTGTTATTTCATAGTTTTGATGTCTTCACTATTATTCTACAATGTAGAAAATAGTAAAAATAAAGAAAAACCCTTGAATGAGTAGGTGTGTTGTGACACTCTGGCTCCATGGACTTTATTATTGAGCCAGGGTTGTTCATTTTCCTTGGTTGGGTGTATTTCTATGTTGGGTATTCTGGTTGTTTCATTT